TGGCACATCTCGAGATTTAAGATGCTAGAGTACTTAGAGCTCTGCACGAATGATTCAAGGATTGTATCAGTACTGTTACATTGTGGACACTAGAACATAAGAGTTACAGACCATTTATCTCCCTCTCCATGTGGTAGTTGGTAGTTTATTGAATAATCATTGAATGACAGATAATCTCATTTGATGTTGGAGCCTATGGGCTGTTTTAATTGTTGTCCGAGCATCACTGTGTAAAGCATCTGTGATACGACAGTGGCACGCTGGTGGAATCCATCACCGTTATTAGTTCTTCCTGATCTTAGAATACTTGCCCATTCATCCATTTTTAGTCCGTTTGTCCTGGTGTGAGATAGGGTGACTCCATGTGAAGGAGGGAGGACCAGGTGTCTTTTAGCAGTGTCCAACTCTTCCTGAGGAATTACCAAGCATTCCCAGGCTAGCTGACAGATCTAGTCCCTCAAGCATTTCCTGGTCTAATTAGCTTATTACGGATTGTTGGTTTGTGTCAGTGGTGTGTTTTGATTGACTTGTTCAAATTACATTATGTGGTAGCTTGCTGTTTCATCTCTGTTTAATGTTGACTGAAACATGATGATATTGCATGAACTAGAAATAAACATTCCCAGACAGCTCGGCACTAATGATGATTCAAGGATACCATTGGTAACATTAAAGCTCTTTAATGTTGTGATTAATTAATCTTCTGGTCCATCAAAGTGATTTTTGGTTTATGAAATTAAATGACTAATTTGCAATGATTTACTCATACAAAATGACTATTTACTGGATTCAGTGGTGGCTTTGCTGTGCTATACTGTAAACTGCAAAGTATTTCAGCTTGTTAGCTGGTTTAATTATCTCCACATGCTAGGTTGAAGTGACACAATAACATTTGACAGAATGACATGTCTTTGCCATTGCAATAAAATGTAATATCTGTACCCTCGGGTCCGTTTCTTACAAGGAAACAGTCAAATGTTAGTAAAGGATGCAGGTTAAAAAAAAACAACTTTCCTTTGTGTGTGAGATCGTGTAATCAAAGCCTTCCCTCTTACACACACACACACGATACGAGAATGCAGTGATTTTAAGACTGGTGGGCCGGTCCTCCCACCCAGCCTCTAGGTGTTCCCTGTCTGGATTGTATTCCCTGTAATTCGGACCAGACGTGGATCAGTTGTGAATTTGGATTGTTTATTGGGTTTAATCTGCCACAGTGTGTCGGCAGTCATTTTCCCACGTTCCACGGAGGGCCTCCTCCGAGCGCTGGGGACGGCCGCGTTCCCTGCACCTGTAACCGGAATGTGTGGTGCCGATTAGCGCTCAGCTGTCCTGGCCGGATCCAGTGTTGCGTTTGGCATTTCCTTTGAGATCCGGGTTCCGCTTGACAGGCGATGGCGGACCCACCCTTGGACGACCTGAGCTGCACTCTGCTGCTCCCAGCCCACATGGGGAAAATAAACACTGACTTGCAATAATGCGGCCTTTTTTTTGTTACTGGTGCGACGGATGCACACTTTTTAAAGAGCAAGAGTCCCACTCGGTCATAAACCCAGGATCTGAATTTGTACTGTGCTGACTTCAGAGATGTAGCTTACTTCAGGCTTGTGCTTAATGCAGTTTCTAACGGAAGCAGTGGTCTCTTTTTCTAAATGCGTGGACGTACAGTACCACTTGACCATCAAATACCACAGAACTCGAAGGGCTAGCTTGCTTCTGAAGGCAGTACCAGCAGTTACTGAATCTGAGGGTTCACATATTCATACAAGGGTATTAGTTATGTGTTGGATCATTTAGTTAAATAATCCAAGAACTGTATATCTTTGTTATCTTCATCTTTTCTTAAGACCTTCATGAAGGCAGATGAGATATTTGAGAATATGGTCCTACCTCAGGTGTTCAGAAACCTTTTTTCTGCACTGTATAGACGACTCTGAAGGCTTCAGGTGGTGTGGGAGGGAACTGTAAATCCAGTAAGATCTTGAACAGAAATTGTCATCTCCAGTGAAAAATACTGATATAATCCTAATATAATATCAGTTATATAAGATATTATATAATGATACTATCATTTGACATTGTGATCATGAATGTGGCATTTAATGGCTGGGTGGCAAACGAAGTGACTTGATTAATTGTGTCTAAAACGCCGCTAGGGCGGTGTGGTGGCTCTGTGTCTAAGGCCCTATACCTGTCGCTGGAAGGTTGCCGGTTTGTATCCCGAACAGAGGAATTGCCGGCAGACAAATCCTACTCTGTTGGGCCCCTGAGCAAGGCCCTTAACCCCAACTGCTCCAGGGGCACCGGTTCATAAATGGCCGACCCTGCACTCTGACCCCCAGCTTTTCTCCCTGTCTGTGTGCCTGTGTGTCTCATGGAGAGCAAGCTGGGGTATGAGAAAAGACAAATTCCTAATGCAAGAAATTGTATGTGGCTAATAAAGTGATCCTATCAATTAAAAATAGCAATTGGAATTGTCTGGTGAAATGAAAATTGAGGTTTACATTTGGAAGCTCATATTGAAATGATGTGAGTGAGTGTGTGTGTGTGGTGGGGTGGGTCATTTTTTAACAACTCCAATGCTGTCCATTCCAGACTCCAAAGGATTGTTCACTAATGGAAACCAAAGTGTCTGGAGGACCGTTATAAACTACCCTCTCAGACAGGGGGCGCCAGAAGAGCATTTACAAAATTCACTCACTCCACTTTATGTGAATAATAATGACCCTCATTTTTCCTGAGCTTAAATTGTTTAAATATATAAAATTGTTTGCTGTGTGCAACGCTATTAAGTTTACAATATGATGCCATTTTTCAGCAAAGGGTGACATTATCTAGTCTTTCTGTCAGATTGTTTTTTGTTCCTCTTTTATCAGAGTTATGAATACATTTTGACAGACTGGGTATATAAAGGAAAACAAACATCAAAAGAACCATTAACCAATATTTATTGGTCAGCTTTTACATTTTCTTGGCCTCCCTTTTATCTTGTCAATAGTATGAATTGCCGTTTTTGTATTATGTTAATTTCTTTTTAAATATGAATTATGCAGTGAATGAGAAAAGCTTTTGTTGTGGATCTTTATATGATTTGTGTTTTGATTCATGCTTTGTTTGTTTGGTAACCCCACTTGCTTTCTGCAACACCTGCACCACAATAGGAAAACAGCCCCTACAACATTTTTTAAGTTAGATAATAGGAAACACACTTCTGTTTCAGCAGAGATTCAAACTTTTGTTTGACACATAAGACCAGAAGGGTGTCCAGCAAGAGGGGGCCATTTGTCCCATATGGCTTGGTGTCCCAGTAGCTAATTGATTCAATGGTCTCATCTAGCTATGTCTTGAAAAAAGCCCGAATATCATCCTTAGCAACATGCCTGGGTAGCTTGTTCCATACTCCCACAGCCCTTAGCGCAAAGAAGTGACTCCTGTCCTGACTGGAGGGTCTTATCCAGTTTTGTCTTGAAAGAAGCCTGGGTATCGACTTCAACAACATGGCAAAGAAATCACTCCCAATCTCAGTTGGAAATGCAGATCCCCTTATAAAGTTTTTAACACTGTGTGGGCAACCTTGCAGTTGTTTCTTATATTTTGTGCCTAACATTTGCAGAACTTTTATTTCAGATGTATGAGAAAATCTCACGGTTCAGTTTTCTTATTTAATATCCTGTGACTTATTTTATGAGAGGCAACTGCAATGAAAACATTTGGATTTAGCACTGATTGTCATAGTAACATTATAGTGCAGCTTGCTATTTTTCTTGGAGTGGGATTCAGAACCTTTCCATATTTGTTTGTGGTTTGGGAAATCTGTTCTTTGCAAACTGTATGAGCTTGTGATGTAAACATTCAGTCTGTCAGATGAGACCTTTATCTGCTGCATTTAAGAATATGTGTCAGGAAAGAAAAACCTTCCATTTACTTTCAAACCAGTCCTACATAAAACAAAACGTTGGTCATAGGCTACTGCGATTCTCCTTTTTGTTAGTCTAAGAGGACTAGCAGTCCTTTAAATCTGAAAAATTAATGAGGCTGAAACATATTAAAAATCAAATATTATACACACCATATTTTTTTGTTTTTTCATCCAGAGCTGATGGAGAGCCACAATTTCACAGCAGACAGCAGTTGGTATGGAGATGGCCTTGAATAAGGCAGTTACTGGGCCCTCTTTTTCTGTTTTCAGTAGTCTTAGCATTATGCTTCAGTCTTTTCCTGAAGCCTGTGGCTTGTTTGTTGTCAGGTTTTGATAGAGCCCTGCTGTAGCTTTAGAGACCAGTTGGCATTTGGGAGAGCAGTGAGTGTGTGAAACACACGTTTTGAGCATTGTGCATTAAAAATACTTTTTGGTTTGGTTTTTGATAGAACGGCTCGTTTTGTCTGTGAGATTTGCTCTGCCCCGCGGCTTTCCCTACAAACGTCCAGTTCCCGAACTGTGACGTTTCTCATCCTGAAGTGCTTCTTTGTTCTTCCTCCCATATTGCATTGATATCATGACAGTGGTACACTGAGAGCTAATTTTCTCAGCTCTCTTGCTTTCCTAAACACAGCTTGTGGATTTACCGACAGAAAGACCTGCTTTCAATTCTGTTTGCAGGATTTTTTGAGTCTTGATTGGAAAAGAATGGCCTTTTAATTTATAGCCTTCGAAGGACAAGGAAGTGTATTTAAAACCAAGAACAGGAGGAACTTCTTTACCCAGAGGGTGGGGGGGAACGTGGAACCAATCACGCTGCCATGTTGTCCAAGCAGATACCATGACGTCTTTCACAAAACGGCTGGATGAGACCTTGAGCTGAATTTACTACTTACTACCAAACGAGCAAGATGGGATGATGGGTCTCCTGTCGTTCATAACCTTTCTTAAGTTCTTATGTATTTATTATTTCCTGTCTGGTGTCTGGTTTGTTTAAGGCAATAAAAGTGCCACGTTTTGATAACTTAATCCTTTTATAAATCAAAACCCTGTTTTCCCTTTTGACTTGTTTCCAATCTAGGTACCATTACCCAGTGCCTAAGATATTTTATGTCCAGCTGATGGTGGGGAACAGTGAGTTTATAGGAGAAGGCCGGACCCGACAAGCAGCCAGACACAATGCTGCAATGAAAGCCCTTCAGGTCCTCCGTAATGAGCCTATTCCTGAAAAACCTCCACAGGTAACCAAGTCTTCCCTTTCCTCTCCCTCCAGAAACAGGCCAGTCAGAACCTTTCCCTTTCTCCTTTCTCTCGGAGCGCCCAAATCTCAAATCTCAGGCTGTGTGGCTGAACTTGCACCCTTTTATTGTTAATGTGCTTGTTACTTCAGCAATACAGTGTTACGCAGGCAGACATTTCATGATTAAAAAATACTACTTGATCATGTGAATCGCATTCACTGTAGATCTGAGCTATTCCATGTTAAGGATGATTATTTTAATCTTATCTCTGCCGGAAATCAAATTACAGTATATGCAACTTGCTTGGCGTCAACAATTGTTATTTAAGACATTTTGGCAGCTCACTAGTTCTGTCTAGCACTCCTGTCTCCATAATGTGTTCTTTGTAAATTATTGCTGCAGCGTATTGCTTTACAAATTGAGGGACACATACTGTATGCTGTAAATACCTGGGGGCGTAAGTCTCATTCAGATTGATATCCATCTTTATTGCTGGAGGGGTTGGTTATTTTTTTTTACCCAGTCAGTGAGCTGTTGTATACGCTTTTCTTGAAGATTCTTCTGCTTTCATGCCAAATCATAATGAAGCAAACTGGAGGCAAAAGTGGATTACTGAAGATTTTAACCTAAATTGAAGTTTATACCTTTCTAATGGTTTGCAAAGAGAACAATAGAGAATAAGTGAAAATGTTTAATAGGAACTGTAAATCCATTTATTTATCTGATCTTGCAACAATGCTGAAATGCTCAAAGTGAATTTTCTGTTACTAGATTTGCCATGTAAACTGGGAGTTTTTGCAAGTGTTACACCCCATAACCAACCTCTTTAAAATCTACACATTTCATGTTGGTGCAAAAGCACAATTAGGATGAAAGCACTTCTTGAAAAAGAGTGCATTGATACAGGACACCACCTGACTCATCTATCCACATGTTTAAAGTGTTCCTTTGCTAATCAGAACCTGACTTTCACCTGGTTGTGTAAGTGAAAAAATTAAGCCATGAGGCTCACATTTCGGGTGTGAACTATAACATTGCAGTTGGTAGATGGCAGTTGAATCAGGCTGTTACTGGGACGTGCAGGGAAATGAAGAAAATGGGTGGCGTAAATATTCATGGTTCCTCATTAGAAAACTTTAAAAAAAAATCAAAATCACAAAATGCAGTGGTTTGAATAGAAAATGATAACATTTCAGGTCCCGTAGAGAGAAGCACGTTTCACAGCGTTGAAGTTTTTTTTTAAATCCTGACTTTTAATCCTGGTTTTCTTTCAGCTCTCTTCTGCTCACTGTGGGATACAGTCATCTCATAACATACTGTTTTCTCTGTTCAGCTGCTATTGCAGTTCTTCTATTGAGAACTCGGAGTACAAAGCAACTAGGGATCAAGGGATTTGATGGCTTTTTCCTTTCAGGACACAGCAGGACATTTTTTATTGGGTTTGAGACATTGCTGATGCCTCCGCTGTGCCGATTAGTAGAGAACTCCCGACTGGAACAATAAAAAAAGGGAATTAATCCAGAGTTTCTAAAGATATAAGATTGATTTGGAGTTTTCTCCCCTTTTGGCGATGAACCATTCATTAGAAGTGCTGTTCAGGGTCCATGTCCACTTGTTGATATGGCCTTTGTTCACAGACTTGAAAGGTTACAATCTTTTGTATCTTATTGCCCTGACAGAAAGAGTTATCCCCGTCTGGGACATGTTACACATTGAGATTTCATCCATGGGCCTCTGCCACTGTTTGGGAAAGCAGCCTTATTTACTGGAGAATCACAGCTGCTCTGTGGTGTTGATACTTCTCGATAATCCTTCACCTCAGAACCTAGAGTTGCCTCAAAGTAACGAAGAAAAAAATCAAACACTATATAATAGATTTTTTACAGCCTGGCTTGTGTTTCCTGTTTGCTTTGAATTACTGTTTGTTTTTATAGATCAGATATGTAATTCCAATGACGTTACAGGACAGTACGGAAACTCCACTTTCAGTTTTGGCAACAGCCTTGAGAGTTTAAAAATAATATAAAATAGTTATTACTTTTATGACTGTCTTTCGTTTTTAAGAAGCTTTCCTTTTGAGAAGGAACACTGTACCTGCATACAAATGTATTTATCGCGTTTTCATCTGAGAATTAGCAAGGCATGGAAAAGATAAATATGTTCTTGCCACAGAGAGAACTAATCTCCCCACTCAGACAAAACTGAGTCTACAAATCCAGATTATCTCAGCAAATGATCTTATTAAAATATATACATCACCATGCTTTGACAGCTTCTTTAACGTTTGATTGACTCTGGGGCCCACTGAGGAGATAACTATCTGCTTTTTAATGAAGGTTTAAGCGTTATGTTTCACTGTTGCCGTGGTAATGGCTGGTTTTATTGCTGCTGTTACAGAAGACGAATATTAGCAGGGAGTCGTCTGTTCCTTTACGATAAAAAAAAAGAAGTAACTGGCAAAAATTGCAGTGTTTGCAATAATAATGAAAATATTTAGTGTGTAATGCCCTTAAATACATCTGATTCTAAAGAGGTCATAAAAGTATTGCTTGAATTTCCATATTCCACATATTTCAAGGGAAACTTGGTGGCACATACAAGGCTGAAGTCTTGGTCTGTTACCTTTAAGGATACGGTGCTGTGTCTGGACTGTGTCACAAATAGAATTAGACTCTCTGACAGGACAAGTACTGACCACATCACAAATCTATGCAGTCCAGCACGGCTGTGAATGTGTAAAACGTTTTAAATTACCTGCATTATTTATCACCACTCAAGCTTAAGTAAAGCATAACAAAGTTATCTTTTTGCAAAGTGCAGGAGAACTATCTGTCCGCAAGTGCTTGAGAACAATGGGGCTATGCGAGGCTCTTGTCACTAGAAGTCTTGTTTGTTAAATCTTGCTTAGCTTGCCAGCCTTTTGATCATTTTTCACACAAGCAGAATCTTATTATCTCTTTTCCTATCCAGTGTGTGGAGGCAACGACTTTCCATCAGAGATATGCAGGTGTGCTGTGGAGTTCTGGAATAAGCCAGAGAGAAAACTAAGTAAATTATAAAAGATTTAATTGTGAAAAATGACAATTTGAACCCACAACCATCTACTTATGAGTCCAGAACCCCGCCCAAATAGACCTTATGTATTACTAGGTAACATAGCACTAAATGGAGGGTTGAACCTGTATAGGAGCTGTAAAGGCCATTCAGTGAAAAAGAATATGAATGGAATGTGGCACTGTTCAAATGTAGTAATATACAACATTTCTTGCGCGTTCCTTGCGATTTGTGGGAGCCCTCAATGGCCACTATTTCATTGTTTTACTAAAATAAGGAAATAAGCAAGTAACAGGCCAAACTCTTTCAGAATATAGTTAATTTTTGCTTAACATATGTGAACTGATATCGAAATGAGTTCCTGATTTTGAAAGGCAGCAACAATAAAACGTAGGCCGTGATATCATTTTTGACGCCTTACTTTTTAAACTAAATACATTTGTTTAGTTTAGGCCTACTTATTGGCTCAACAGGTTCATTGTGTCTCATTTTCATTTTATGTAAATTTCTGAAAACTGGGGCAATCTAAGAAGATTTTAGGAACTGGCTTCTAACTTTCTTCTAGTTTTGCTTCTTGAAAGAACTGTCTTGTCACAAATGCCGTGTACGAATACATGCCTTTCAAGGTTGGGAAAATTTCCATAATCCTGTCTAGGCTGACAGGGTTTTGCTTCATGCAGAAGTGAGCACAATTGAAACTTTATACATTTATATCGAGACCCAGGAATGACCCAGCAATGACCATTGTATGGACAACTTCAGAGACACCTTTTAATCTAGCAAGTACGTCTTTGGAAGATGGGAGGAAATCGAGAGCAGTTGTCAACAACTCAAATAAATCTGGGTTCCACTCGGAGGGTAGAGCTCCTGAATAAAAACAATACGAACAAACACACACTTGTCCATGTAAACAGTTTATATGGTTGTATTGAAATGGATATATACAAGGTTTGCTCTCTTTAGCACTGTCAAGTGAAATGTGTAGGGAAGACCTGGTGAATGATGTTGAGAATGCATGAGTAATGTGCCCACAGTGCTTCTACACAGCACTGTGATCGTGAGTCCTTCCTCTTCACAGGCCATTTCAATTCTCTTTATTTTAAAGTCTCATAAGCAACGTTGCACATTTTCCTTTCTCGCAAACGATTGTTCATTGTAGACTACACTGAGTGTACAAAGCGTTAGGGATGCCTTTCTAGTCTTGTGCTGCACCCCCTTTGGAGCAGTCTCGGTTCGTTGGGGCATGAGGTCAGCAAGGTGTCAATAGCGTTCCATAGGTGTGCTCGCCCATGCTGACTCCAGTGCTTCCCACAGTTGTGTTGGGTTGGCTGGTACTGGATCTCTACTCCGAATGGCTCGTTCCACCTCTGCCCACTGATGTTCAAGTAGATTGAGATCTGGTGATGGGGCAGAAAAACTGCAAAAAAGCCGAATGTTTGCAGTTTCTTGTTTTTCGCTGAAAGAGGTTGAACTCTGTAAGGCTGTCAGATGCCATACCCCATTAGTGTGAAGGTGCGATGAGTTGTACATTCTTTTATGGGTCTTTTGGCACCAGTGTTGTACTGGACTGTCAGGTGACTAACTGTAGACCGTGTGTTGATCTGCACGGTTTGTGTCGGCCTTCTTTCACCTCTTTCATGGATGAGCCGTTTTCCACCCCTGGCTTGCTGTTGACTGGATGTCTTAGGGGTGGCGGACAATTCCAGATGCACACGGGACTGGATGTCTTAGGGGTGGCGGACAATTCCAGATGCACACGGGACACTGTTGAACGTGAAAAACATAGCAACACTCAAACCAGCGCGCACCTACTATCATACCCAAGGGCACAAAAATCTTTACTATTCTCCCTCACACACATAATCCGGGTCTCAATTGTCTTAAGCCTTAAAAATCCTTCTTTAATCTGTCTCCTCCCCTTCAGCCTCACTGATTGAAGTGGATTTAACGGGTGAAATGAATTAGGGGTCATAGCTTTCACCTGGATTCACACGGTCGGTCTATTTCAAGGAAAGAGCAGGCGTCCCTAATGGTTTGTGCACTTAGTGTTTGCTGAACATTTTTCTGATTATATTTCAGGTTTTATAAACACATGGTACAGACAGTGTATAGATTTATTTTACTCAAACACTTTAAGACACAAATCCATCTTAATTACCTTATGCCAATAGTCAGCAGAATAAATATGCTTACCTTACAGTGAGGATGTGAGCGAGAGAAGGTGTGTGGTGAAAGGTGGCCTGTGTGTTGCTTCTCATCTTGGCACTCAGCTGGGTACATTTGTTGTCCTGCTGCTGACCATGCTTGTGAAAATGAGAAAAAGCTGTGCACTAAATGAAAAAAGTGGCATATATTGCATTCAAAAATGTCAAAAATAAGAGTATGTGAATCAAAAACTGCCTGTACATAAACAGTCTTTTGTTTAAATGATTGTTAGAGGTGGTGTTGGGTTTTGTGTGCCAAACAAGATTTTTGCTAAAGCAAGTGGGCCTTAGGTTGGAAAAGACTGGGAAACATTGGGCTAATCAATGCATGTGTGGGAATGACATGCAAAGCACCGATTGAGCTTTTTTCCTGATAATTTAATATTTAAATCCCATGAATTTCATCTAGGCAAGAGGTATCCAAATAGCAGTGACATTTACTTTAATTGAAATGTAAACAAATATTGTTTGCAAAAGACTGGGATAGTAAGGTTCAAGTTCAGAACATGCTGTTTAAGGTGTATCAAGCTGGAGAGTACAGTATACATAGAGTCTTTCCCCCTTCCGGCAAGTTTGTCTAGGTTTTATTATCACTAGCTCTTCGATAAATGTTGTAGAGTCCAGAGGAGAAGGACGAGGCCGAGCAGACCAGCGATGCCAGCAAGTCTGAAATCAGCCTGGTGTACGAGATTGCGCTGAAGAGGAACCTGCTCGTCAGTTTTGAGGTGAGCACCATCTTTGGGAGCAGAAGAACTGACGCCAGGCTAGCTTTCAAGTAAATCATGTGGTCCAAACGCATTTCATGTGCGAAGCAAGGAACGTTCCCTTTCCCCAGTGAAGGAAAAAGCAATTGATTCCGAAGATGCAACTGGATAGGATCAGATATTATTGATGTAACGGTTTGTTCTCCATAATTCGGAGCGGTGTGGTGGCTCTGTGGCTAAGGATCTGCGCCTGTGGCTAGAAGGTTGCCGGTTCGTATCCCGCAGCCGGCAGAGGAATCCTGATCCGTTGGGCTCCTGAGCAAGGCCCTTAACCCCAACTGCTCCAGGGGTGCTGTACACTGGCTGACCAAGCTTCTCTTCCTGTCTGTGTGTCTCATGGAGAGCAAGCTGGGGTATGCGAAAAGATGAATATCTAATGCAAGAAATTGAATATGGCTAATAAAGTGATCTTATTTTGAATTTTATTTGGTCTCATCTCTTACAAGAGTTACAGATGGAGATGCATCTAGCAGCGCTTCCAGAAGAATTCTTTACATGTTTTTGTACAGCTTATTTCCCTTCTAAAATCCCCCTTTTGCCAGAGCAAGTGAAACCCAATCGTGTCCTGCCTGCTGTGTGTCTCCTGTGCTTTACTCACACTGCATGCTGGAAGATGTAAGCTTAACAGGACTGAAAAGGAGGATAGGTGCATTGATGAAGGTTATACAATTCTTTCTTGTTTGTTTATTTTTATGTTTGCCAGCCTAGGTGTTAAAAAGGCTGGAAGGCTCTGCCTAGCTTGCCTGTGGTTTGTCTTGTTGCAAGCCTGTGTTAAAACACAGTACTGTCAAAAATTCTCAAATAAAATGGAAAGAAGGGTAAATGAAGGGTTACAAACATCAGGAGGTCATTCAACCCATAAAGCCCAATTGGTTGTCATTAGCTGAGAGATTTGAGGATTTTTGCCAAGCTGTTTCGTGGAAGATCTTGTTCCATGTTCCCACAACCCTTTGTGGAAAGAAGTGCCTCCTGTTTAGGAAAGTGTGTAGATTACAAAATCATACATCAGTCCTATCTTTGAATCCCCTCTGTTTTTAGAATTGGTTGATATGTACGTATAATACATCTAGAAGTATAGCTGTTAGCATCACCTTTGCCTTGCTTTTTGAGCTCTTGTGTAACATCCTTTTTCATTAACTTCTCCTTACTGCGTTAGACTTGTGTTCCACAGTCCAAGAGAAAGTAATGTTTGCACACAACGTGTGTGCAGACCAGATGAAAAAACACCTCTTTATTTGAGGTACAAAGAATATTGACAAGGACAGGAAATTTCCCAAAGTTCTTAGTGTGCTATGCTCTAACAGTTACAGTGTGCTTAGTTTGGTGGCTTAGTTGACCATCTCTTGAAACGTGCCCCTATGTTTTCATACAGATATGGTAACTCTGAATGCCTTAAGATTGATGGGTAACCTGGCACCCATAGCTATCTTGAAAGTTCAGACTCACAGTTCAGTTCTGTGTCTGTGAAGCCAGTGACAACCAATTATTGCTTCACTGAAGTTTCACTTTTAACGGAGTTACACATTTCCGGAGCTAAAGCCGTGTCATGATGGAACCAAAACTTTGCATGGGAGATGTGAAATAAGCTATTCATATGCAGACTTGTCTTTGCCTACATTTTCATGACCTTTCATGAACGTTGTTTTGGAAAGTGTCTCATCTTAAATATGAGACTATGGGATGTTAGTGGGATATATCTGTATGTTTTAATGTGCCATATGTGCTGAATTTGAGCATTAGAAAGGATATAAATGAGAAGAGCTCAGCCGGTCAATCTTGTGTGGCTAGCACTTCAGAGGGGCTTAAACAGCTGTTCTCTTGAAGGATTCCCTGGAATCAGCTTCATCGTCAAGGCTGAGCAGCTTGTTCCAGACACCCACCACTCTTTGCGCGTTTCCTGATTTTAGTCCTAAATTAATTCCATGGTAGCATCCTTGACTTTATCATTCATAATTATTAATCAGTTGCTTATGTTGTAGTGCACGTCTCTCTTGGGAAGTATATACATGTAACTGACCATTTTCCAGACTGTCAAATCGTTCTGTGTCTGCGGTTAATTTACAGTCTGCTCAAACAAATTAGTCTCTCTGGCTTTATAGCTGTCTTACTTAGTTACCCTTTTATCATTGTGTTTTTATCTTTACTTCTGTATCAATTACCAACATTTTCTTCTGCCTTTGTAAATAACTTTTGCATTCATTAGCCCTTACATCTGTAAAAGTGATTAGCTTTTTGAGCACAATTCATCAGCATCTTGTCAGTGGCTAATTAATCCATTGTAAAGCTATTGCTTGTAATGTAAATGTGTGAATGCTTTAATTGGTGCACATTCACTTGTTTTTTCATTATAGCTTTATTTTAAAAGAAATCAAATTCAGTTATTTGCTTTATTAATGTAGATGTTTTTGTTCTCTAAGAAGTCTGAACCAATCTTTTTTGTACCTTTTATCATACTATATGAAATAGGAAATAGGTTTTTCTAAAAGATCATTTTTATTAAAAATCAAATCTTCTGGCAAAATTAAAAACTGACGTTTTAGGTTCTCTCAGGGAGAGTGAGCAGACATAAATTGTCTGTAAAGGATTTAGTTTCATCACAAAATATATAGAGAGGTCTTTTTCATGTTATTATCCAAGAACCCCCATGTGATGTGCTCAGAAACTTTCCTTGAGGGCAAGTGCATTGATGAAATACACAAAAGATCTATTCTTCAGGGCTTCAACTCTCAACAGCTAGATATCCAAAGAGCTCGCTAAGCCAAGCCTGTTTAAAGCCTGGAGTCTCGCAGGCTTATTGCTGTGCCATTATTTTTTCTTCTGTAAATGTTTTTTTCTGAGTATAAAGATTACTTAATGACTCTGGATTGCGCTAATTGTGCTTTGTGCTACTTGAACTACAGAATCAGCTACATCAGACAGAATCACAGACACTTGAAGTGGCTGGAGCCAGAGGAATAAATCCAGAATAGAGCATGTGTAAGACAACTTGCATTTGTAGGTAAAAGGCATTTTGCTTGTCGTGTGTGGGCACTCTGGGTTTGGATTTAGATCCCTTCCAGAAAGTAGAAAGTGCAGGCTGTTTCATTTTCATAGGGTTACTGTGTTGGAAAGGCAAGGCATAGATCTCTGGGAAATGTCCTTACATTGTTTCCCAGATCCAGGATAGTGTGGAAAAAGAACAACAGAGAGTTCACTACATAACTTATAATTTTTTCACAGAGCAGGGTGCTTCTGGAAAGTCATTTTATTTGTTTATGCTAACGATATTATTCTGCAAATGTTTCTTTGTGAGGCCACAAGGTCTTCTTGATCCTCGAAGGTGAGGATCCCCTTGAGCTACATCTTTCACCCAAAATGATAACAGAGGGAATGCTCCCGTTGAGTTCAAACTACTGTGGAGTAAATCAGTACTATCACAAGGCTGCCTGAACTCTTATTATTGTTTTTCATCTTGAGCGTGCTTAATAAGAAGGATGTTCTTTTCCAACTTAAGTCATGAACATATTCATTTAACAAGGCTTTTAGAAAGCAATGGCATGATGTAAGTGGAACTTATAAAAATATGATAAGAATAGGTTAGGAATTGGGTTGTTTTGCCCGAATTTAAAGACGCAAACCAGGGAAAGAAGATTAAAAATTTGCTGCACTTTATCTTGTGTCAGGCAGTTCTGCCCAACTCATTCTTTGTAGTCACAATTTTGTTGTCACTAACACAATTAATTGCATGTAAGTGTAAAAAAAACATTATTTTTAAACTAATGATGTTGAGCTCTGACGTTCTCTGTCATTTGTTATTCTAAACAACAGAAAAGAAAAAAGAAGCAGCAAGAATCGAAATGCTGACTCACTATAAACTAAAACGAACATCAACACGGAGCTCAAATACATAGTCTTTATCGTTTCAAAATAGGCATTTTAAAAAGTACAAGTAAGGGTTTATTCCCTGCTGTAAAGAGAAGAAAAGCACAATGTTTCTACTGTGGAGCCTTCAACTTCACCCGAGGAAGGTCCCACGGCCGAAACGTTGTGTTTCTTTTCTTCTCTTTTCAGCATGGAATAAACCTTTACTTGTTCCTTTGCAGCCTACGCATGCTGACGCAGCTCCCTGCTTGAACATTTTCAACACTTGATTATTGTTAAAATGGTCATTGTTGTCTAGAAAAGATCTCCTCACCTACATTTACTTCAGCAGTTGTATAGGCTTCTGTGATACTGTAGCAGTATAACAGGCAGTATTATTTCTCACTATTTTGGTACTTCACCTCAGAAGGTGAAGCTTGGACAATTCTCTCAATATGCAGAGGATCTCAAACCTTGAAGCTAGTGCTAGTTTAATGGATATAAAAACAAATATACGAAAGTGAAAAGTATATAAATTCTCCTACATACTTTCCGGTGGCCAATCTAGGATAAGTGTTTCTCAGTGCTTGTGTTTGATTAACTAATGACCTTTTACAATCAGTGAGCCTCTTTTATTAATGAATCACCGTTTCCTGATGTATAACACTAGATCTAACCTCCTGGAGGGCAATCCACCTACACTGTTTTTGTTTTAGATTGTTTGATAGATGTGTAAGGCCAAGGAAACTGATAAGGAAGAGGAAAACTAAATGTTTCTTTTTAAATTCTCTTTTCAATTTTGCAGTAGTCTATGGGAAAAAAAATGAAACACCATGCAAGACTTCACTAAGAACCTTTATGCTTGATGAAATGCATTTTTTGTGAGTGGAGTTTTTATGACCTGTTGGATACATGTATTGAACTATGTGGTGTATCTTTTGCAGAGGTTTTGGCATGTAACCAACACACCTTGCTACTTAACAGGATCCCATCTACTTATTTATTAAATTATACTTGGGCATAACTAAGAGACTCTTCTGTTCTTCTGAAATTCTGAGAAACTGCAGATTTGTTCTCCTGTCCACACAGTTTTTGCATTATCTAGTGAGGCAGTAACAGAGGTTACAGATGCTCATGTATGACTGTACTCCTGAGAAAGACTAGTGCTCGTCTGTCTCCTCAGTCTCAGCAGGCTGTTTGTTTCATAGGGACCAACCCACCATGTACACTCCTCCACCCCCAAACCCTGGACTCGTTTTTCACTAATGCACCTCAATCTTAGTCCTGATGGATCTGGGTTTAAAGACCATGTCTCTGTTTTAATTAACTATTGGCTTTGTATTCATTGTAAAGACATTAGGTGCTGCCCCCTGTTCTTCCCTGACCATCTTCCTGCAGGAAGGGAGGCAGCTGGCCTCACTGACTCCGCTGTTCCCTTGCAGGT